CTGTGTGCACTGATTGATACAACGATCGTCGGGTCTCAGAATGCATAACGATGGCGTACAATTAGCTAATTGCAAAAGAGATATTAAGATGGCAATTTCAAGCAACGCTTGTTTCAACTCCATAATGTATATCCTGAAAAATAAGAACAAAAGTTGACGTTAGAAGGCAATGGTATCAAAACTTGTCTTTCGAATGTTACGTTGAAGCCATTAGATACATACAGAATTTTGCCATAGCTTGGAAATATCTCGCGCGCTGATTGGCTTAGAACCATTGTCGATTAGAGGCTAGACCTGCTTGTGCTTACGACATCCGTTGCGTGTACTGAGCGAGCGTATGAAACGGCTTTTTCAAACTATTTATATGTCTTTTTTGTTCAATTTTTTCGACTTTGTCATAGTAAAAAAACATGCTCTCGTGGTTCCACTTTAGTTTGGATCCTTTTTGACGTCATTTCATGTTCGATTACAATGCAGACCTATAGAAAACTGACTTCGATTTGTTAAATACACGCATAAATTAGTAAATTGTAAGGAAAAAATTGTAAAATGCTAAATCCTAATCAATTCTGTACTGGGCTCTGTCTTGACTTTGGTAGCCCAGGTTGTTTCAGGGTTCGATAAGACGGTTATTTCGAGAGAAATTTTACCGGCTGAACGCAAGCAATAAAATTGAAGCTGCTTCGGTTTTCGTTGCTTTTGTCGTCGATCTTGGCGGCCGGAAATGAGGCATCCGACGGAAGACCCGTGTGGAGCAAACTTGATCTGTCATCCAACATGGCGGCCATGTGTTGTCTATTTCCCGAGTCATTTCCGAATTCTTGGAACCTCACAACACCATCCCACTTTTTTTCGTTAAAAAAAATCTACAATCTAGATTCTTTTAAATTTCCATTATTTTCATTATAATATACGATACATACAACACTACCTATTGATGTATTACAACATAACGATGTACTGGGCATCCTGTGGAATTATCATATACTAACTCGATAAAGATCCGCCATGTGCACAGGGAGCCCGGCTTGGTGATGCTAAATCGGTAAAACGATCACGTTTCATATGTTGATGACATTACATAATAATCGTAACTCAATACACCCCTATTACAAACGGTCACTACTAATAGAACTTGTAATGCAATAGTGTTAGACGCCCCGTAAGAAGAGAGAAAGGAGAGAAGGGCTGAAACAAAATATAGTAGCCCTTTTAAAACCTCGATTTTCTAGTCTTGTTTTAGAGTTAGGGCTCTTAAACCTGGATCAAGCGAATGAGTATAGATTAAACCAAATGAGGGAGCGTTGATTTCATAACTTGTGAGCAGTTCTCATGATATTTTCGGCAATTTCGGCAAGCTTGGTTTAAAGTTATGTGCGCCAGCAGTTGATGGGACATGTTTATGATTAACCTAGCCTGATTTGCCATTTTTCAATGAAATGATTTTTTCCCCGCTTTTTTCCAAAGTGACTTTGACTCTAGTCGCTGAAGGAAAAACGGTTTTTAGGAGACGTCCGAGTTCTCTGTTATTATTGTCTATATTTTCTTTATCCTGAACTTACCCTGCGAGCAGAGGTTTTTTTCCTGACCCTCCGTGGAGCTGGCTATCGGGGAGAAAAAATACCTAGAGGTATTTTTTCTCCCCGATAGCCAGCTCCACGGAGGGTCAGAAAAAAAACCTCTGCTCGCAGGGTATCCTGAACTATATGCCGGTAGCTCTTCGTATATTTCGGCGATTGATATTTCTTCAGAGCCAACTTCAACGTTTTCAAGTAGCCTGTCCTCGAAATTCACGAAAATAATTCTTAGTTTATAATCGATAACAAACTCAGTTAGTATTTTTTTAAATCAGTTTTAATACCTACTATTATGGACGAACTCGGAACTAGTACATTTGAGTACCCGTTCGATGTCATGCTGGCTATGAATAAATTAAGTGTCCCATCAACTGCTGGCGCACATACAACGAATAAACTTCGCTTGTTTCAAGCCCTTCTCTCCTTTCTCTCTTCTTAACGCGTGCGTTACGTATTTGAATTTATCACGGTATTAAGTTACGCGTTACAAACACTGGTGTTCTAATTACGTAGTGACCGTTTGTAATAGGGGCGTATTGAGTTACGATTATTATGTAATGTCATCAACATAAGAAACGTGATCGTTTTACCGATTTAGCATCACCAAGCCGGGCTCCCTGTGCCATGTGTCAAGTAAGGTCAAAACTCATTGTAGTGTTATAGTGTCTGGCGTCTATCTGCCCTGATGTTTCATCTCATTGTAGCCTTAGTCTTACACGCAGCTGAATTAGTAATTTTCCTTGGATGAATTCTCCTAAGTCGATTTACGTCATTAGGCTCTCGAATAATAATCGTAGCGTTATCAAAGATGCGATGAAAGACCGTTTTCTCAAGGTTGCGTGCGCATCCAACTTGACGGGCTACAAAACTGAAAAACGCAAATTCAGTAAAATTGAGAAGACAGTTTTATATTTAAAGAGGAGAATAATCGATTTTATGAATTCTTATCGGAAACAATTTCATAGCAATGCACGATAATACTCGTATTCTGGTATCGTGGCCCTTCAAGTTCCTTAAATTTGGATGCGCACGCAACCTTGAGAAAACGGTTTGCTAGATTTCAATCATTCCCAAGAGAATGAAATAACAGAAGAAACGGCCGCCACGTTGGACGATATTAAAAAAGGGACGAATATTTCGTTAAATTCATCCAACATGACAGCTGTGAAAACCATCAATATTACTCAATTACTCTATTAATTTTCTTCATAAAAATATCCTTTAAAAACCTCTGTTATGGCAACCATATGTTTCCTAGGTCATATTTAATGTCACAATGCTTATGTTGCGATTTTAAAGGAAATTAACAATTATTAAGGTTATTAACATCTCATTTATGTAGCATGTCACGCAATAAATACATCCCAAACGTCACGCACAGTCACGAAGTTGATCGCTCCTTTGGAAAACATTCTAATGTGTTATTTCAGAGATAACAATCATTTTTTCTATCATTTTGGAAAAACAATGGCTGATTTAGATTAGAAGCCAAGGTTGGGGTCGTCTAGAGATTTTTGATCGAGATCAAGTCAACCATGGAAAATTATATCCGTTTTAATTATAATATGTAAGGTAGAATGTATATGTGACTCCATTATCATTAACAACATATCCAACACAGGTCACCAGGCATCTGTGTCGAATTAAAAACGAAAATCGGGACTATATCTTATTCTTCAGCGTCGTCATTTTCGCCTTAAATTGTCTTTTCGTCGACTAGAATACATCGCTTAATCATCTACAGAGAGAAGTTCACAATTCTAATGAATGCTAAGCGACTAGACTAAAAATACACACATCAAATTCGAATTTTAAAAGGAACTCTTCGCTGAATCGATGAATAGAGATAGATTGCAAGTTAACTCTGTTGGTGTAACAGCGAAGATTGCAAGAAAGATCATTCACGCTGAGACACAAAAATAGCTAAATGGCTATACTACGATTCAGTCGAACGTAGTAATGTTGTAGTAATGTTGTAAAACGATTTGTAACTTACCTAAATCTCTCAGTTCTTTCATAAACTCCTTCTAGCTTACTTTATCTCGATGATTTGAATTCTTGAACAGTCTAGAAGCGTTGTTTTGAGCATTTTTCTACACACCCATATTATGGGGACTCAGTCGAAGATATTGATGGGGACTCGGTTCTGATATTTACATATTCCACGACCCGAAGACAGCGCGCATCAAAACTGCCCCTTCAAGCTCCACGGCCTCGAATGAATTGATAATGAGATCAAAGGCTAGCCATAGACTGGGCCAATTATTGAGCCATGTTTATTTTTTCAGCCCAACGGCTGTCAACGGTCAAGTGCGGAGGGGCTCGAGTGAATAACAAAAAGGACGACAAGCGAATTAAATTCAAAAAATTAATTATTTGTGTAATGAAAAGAAAGAAAGCGCAGCGAGAGGTCATGTAAGTGCCATGTGATTTTGTGTTTGGTGCCTGAATTGTTCAAACAATTTCTTTTGAATTTTGTCTGACACAAGCAACAACATTATAAAATATTTATAGAACATTTTTGCTGTTCAGTGGTAAGCCTTAACTGATACTACGTAGGACTTACTACCAACTATTTTTTACTATATTGAATAATTATCTGTTATTGGTATTACCAAGCATTTTCGTATACCAATAGTATGCTGTCCTTTTCTTTTTTAGCTTTCACAATTATCGAAAGGTAACATGACAATATGGAATTTTTTGCAAACTTTTGTCTGCACGATTTTCGTGCATATTTTCTTCTGTTCTGGCATTATTTACATATGAATAAAATGCATGTTCTTCATTCAAGTTTAGTAAGCAATATGGAAAATCAGTAGTGCAGCAATTTCTTTTTACTTAAAAAAAGAGGGCAAAGAGTAGATGCTCAGATTTAGGGGTGCAGTGTGTGTTGTGTTTTTTAGTAGGGGTTGTGTGAAGAGGATGGTTTGAGTGATGAATATAAGGGCAGCACAAGGAAATATTTTGGTGTGTCGTCGTGGGGGTCTGTGTAATTTTCGACTATATAGACAAACAGACCACAAAGTTTATATTAAACATTATATCTTCAAGCCAGCTTTTTCATAGCTGACCAGTGAGCCTCTTACGTCAAATGTTTGGTATGTTCAGCCTTCAGTAAAGACGCTTGAAGCTTCAACAGCCGATAAAGGAGGGTCCAAATAATGTGATACAAAGAAATAGCCAGCGATAGTCTGTTGAAAGTACTCCATGAAAATACGAATAAGACCCCTTATTTATTCACTCTTGATATTTATCGAAGATAAATTTATATAGAATAAAATTCACAACACTCATGAAGCATAAGCCTGGCTTACAGTTTTAACCGCTGACCAGCAACCAATACCTGAAAGTTTTTTATTCAATATTAGGTTTAGCACAAAATCAACTCAAAACATATTTCCGATTCTAGATAATTAAGTATAATTATATAATTTAAAGATTGGCAAGGAATTTTAATTCATATCATAGTCGTAATAGCTATCATTCTTCTTCGGGCTCAGCTGCGTCGGATTTCAGTTCGTTGATCTCCGCTTTGCCCAATCGAAAAACACACCAGTCTCCCAAGCACTCAGCTCCAAATTTTTCGTAGAACCTCACAGATGGGCGTCCCTGTGGTGACATCCATTGCATGCGCGAGCACTTTTTGTCGGCAGCGATCTGTACAGATAAAATTTTTTACTAAATTAAAGACTTATCTAAGTGAGAGTACTGAACATATAGTTTTGCTAAGCGCGGTCATACTTGATGATGGAGAACTTGACAGCGATTGAGAAAACAGGTCGATAAGCTCAATTATTTCCTGCAAAAAACGTTTTTTACGCCAAGTCTTTCAAACCTTTCCAATTGTTTCTTTTTCTGCTCAGACAATCATCTGAGAATGCGACACTGATTGATACCACAAGAACAGGATAACAAGGAGCTAGTGGCAAAATGAAGGCCTTGTCGGTCACCTGCGGTTTTTATGTAATTAGTTTTTGAGCCCAAAAGATCTCTTAATTTATAACCATGACTTCAATGCTTAAAACGATAAGTCAGACATGTTTTATGCACTGCGCATGCTCAAACCTATCAAATCAAAATTAGGAATAACAGTTTGAGCCTAAAATAATAGTTTATTTTATTCTTTTCTTAGAGCCGTACAGCAGCGAACGAATAGTCTGGGGACGAGATTAGAACGTGACACGGCTGCAACATGAGCAAGCGCACACGTTTAGCTTTTTTCTAATATTAGCTTTATACTTACCTTTGCAAGTGATTTCATTATTGAGGTACCAATCCCTTGACCTATTACAATGCAAGAGAAAATAACTTATTATCAATGCAAAAACATTTTAAATATCTAATATATTGAAGGCACGACATTTTGGATTGATATTGGCCACTTTGTTAGATATATTTATATCTATCTTAGAAATATACTGACCTCGAGCAAAGGGAATGACAAAGAGATCCTCCAGGTAAAGCATGGGACCCTCCCATGTGGAGTAGGTATAGAAATAGATAGCAATACCCAGGATCTCCTTTACCCTTGGTGTGGAAGTCTTTCTGTGTGAGCTTCTGGCTGGGTCAATGATGCTCACGGTCGCGTCTGTTCAAAAAAAATTCAAATGTAAGAATACTTCATGTTTCGAGTTCTCGGTTGTTCAGGGTTAGACTCGACTTTGTGAAGAATATTCATGTGTTCCAGTGAAGGTCCGTTGAATTTCAAGGTGTTTGTATTGTTGAAGTTGTGCATTCTTTTTTTTTCTTTTTTTTTTTTYTTTTTCATTCTATCTCTGAATAATTAGGCACTGATACAAGGCCGAGCCTGAGTAAATAAGTCTGTAATCAAGCAATACAACGGTAATTTGGAACTCGAAAATGGTCTATACACATTACATCTAATGCATTACATATATAAACTATATTTCAGTGTCATAAAGATTTAGCTATGTATAAACTGTGAATTGGGGACACTATAACAAAAAAAAAGATGGGGACGTAAAGAAAAATTATATATTCAAAAAWATATATATATTAGATAAATCCATAATAATGCATAAACTAGTAGCTACTATTTACCTATAAATGGATATTAAGTATAACCTATAATTTATAGATTTATTATTTAGCACAAATTGAAATATATCTCCTATATTACTGTTTTATTTCTTTCGTTCTCACTTTTTTATTTCTTTCTTCATTACTGTCATCCTTTTATCCTTCCTTCGTTTCTTCCCTTCCATCTTTCCTTTATTCATTCGGTCATTCGTGCATTTATTGCAATGACAAACTTACCTTCATGTGGAATAGGGATTTCCTCAGCTACAAGGCAGTGAAAAAGTTGATTTGCGCCGAAACCATCGCGCAACAGTTCTAGAATAAAAGTTTACCGTTGCATTTATTAGTTACCTCCTTAAGCCTTTCTTCAGGGTTGTGAATGACATGTTTGGTTCCAATTCAACTGTTGTAAATCCTTCCAATTATATACTGGAGCCGATTTCCTAATTTTTGCTCTACACATTTTGTATAAATTACTTTTCAATGAATATAAAGCAAGGACAAGAAGGAGTAGGGCGGAACCAATTAGGGCTCTGTCCCCTATATATTATCAGTCGTAAATCATCGCCGAGACGAAAAGAGTGGAGTTTAGAAACCTAGACCCGTTTCTTGTTGAATGCATCAGCTCTTACCTTCTTCTCCTGTCTTTAGTTTGTCCGACTCCCCTAGGTATTGCGCTAAACCYTTACATTAAAAATGAATAAATGTATGTTAATAAATTATAATTATCATCATCATGACCATCGTCATGTATATGCCAAGAGCATTTTATCTATTACACTTCTGCAGTCTGTTTGTCTGTCCGTCCGTCCCTTCGTCTGATTGTCAGTCCGTCCTCCCCTCTTTCCGTCTGTCTGTCTGTCTGCTATCTGTCCGTCTGTCCGTTTACTTTGCTTTGCTGCCATGACCGCATTGACTATAGTGCTTTTTAGTTTCATATAATAAACCACTATAATAAGGCAATTTGAATATTATTTTGTACCATTTATGCCGTAATTCATGATTCATAAATATATTACAATAAATAGATTATGGCATTTACTTAAGATTAAATAAGAAAACCGGTTACTAACTTGTCTTACAAGCGTTATAGAGAGAAATATCTATAGACAAGTCTGCCATAGAAGGACAAAAAGGGTCTTGTAATGCTCGATGATTATCATTTTACAAAGTCAGTTTTACTCATTTAGCATACCAGTCTTTTCACTTCTAAAATCAGCCTTGCTATTTAGCATTGTAATTGCAACAATTTATATCGTAAGTACACAGTTTTTCTCTAATTTTCTAGTGTAATTTCACGCTCTGCCGATCCACTTTTCTTTGTACTAAGATTATTTTTCATAGTGTAAATTGAGATTAATTCACCTTGATCATCTTTGCAATCGCAGGCACATCCCTCTCTACTGCTGGTCTAACTTCAAAATTGCGGCGAGATTCCATTTAAGCAAACTAATATATCTTAAAAATACTTTTTCTTTGGTTAAAAAATTCTAGGACGTTTGAACAAATCGCTATGTTTTTACATACCCATGGTATTTTAACTTAAATTTCGTTAATTACGTCACCTAGGGAGATGAGCCAATCACGAAGGATTTTTTCATAGTGCTGTAGAACTGTATGGATTCTCGTTAATTGGACAGAGAGAGGGAAAGATGTGAGTCGTGTTTACAGTTTTGTCAAACAATCAGTAATTTTGCTAGTAATGGAGATAAACAGTCAGATTGTAAGACGATGACAAATTAATTATGGGCATTTTGCAAAACGTTGGCCATACTCAAAAACTATATTTTATCCATTAGAGTTTTTCCGTATCCCTTGAATTTCATGTGTGAATTTCAAGGGGTGAAATGTTTCATGCAAATTAGCTGTCTGCTCCATAATTATGAAGTTCTTTTGTCTTCAATTTTGAACATAAATATATAACTCTGTAATATTGATACGGTAAATTGCATTGAATTTATTTGGCAAAAGACTCAAGGTATGACTAGAATGTAGCACCAATAAACATTTTTACTTCAAAACCACAGAAAACCCTTTATTATTAATGAATTATGGCAAGCTTCTGTTTCCTCTTGAAAGGAAAGAAGATGATTGGTGTGGGTTTCCATGACAGGGCTTATAACCGGTTGGGATTCAATTCTTGCAGTCACACAAGTTAGTCTCTGTTATTCATTCCTTCCCTTTCTTATAGTTATTAACGTGTGCGAACATTTATTTTTAACGGTGTTGTTGCGCCATGGTGACGATACAAAGATATCCAATGCAAACTTAGTTTGGGCACTGAACTGGAAAAAAAAGCTACATCTAAAATGATTTTTAAACTAAATGGACTGCGTTTCTTCTAATATTGTTAATGAGCTTTCTTCTATTCGTAAGGGCCACACTAAGTTGGCCACCCCACTTATTCGCCATCGCCTGTGTCTAAATCTACTCGACACACGTCTATAGATTTTTAAGTCAGTGATCCGATGTTCCACTCTAACTCTATGCCTGGACAACGAAAGCTCGATTAAACATTTCCATGTTGGCAGTTAGGCGTCTTCCACCTCTTCGGGAAAAGGGTACAAGCAGTAGATATCCTGTTGGACATCCACTATCTGCCATAAGATAACTACTGACAGGAAGCTGTAGAAGAAAATTATTGCCGAAACCTATTCGTGGTAACATTCTGTAACTTGAAACGTCAGTTAAATGACCGAGAAACCCTGCCTGACCATACGTGAAAAAAACCTTTGTGTCAACAGTTACTTGCCACTTAACGAAATGAAACCCGCGATTGCCGCGATAGTAGAGCCTTTGCGCGTTCCCTTGAGGTCCGTTGATGCTGATTGGTGTAGCGTCAATCATACCAACAACATCTGAAAAGTCATCTATGCTTACACGTAAATAGTTCCACACTCGCGAAGAATGCCAGCGTATGTATAGGGGCTCATAGTTAAAAAGCGTTATTAAGAGCAATATATGGAAATTTTCTGTTGTAGCACTCGTTCCAAACAAGCTCCCAACATGTGAAAAGGTGGGATAGGTGCGTAACCGAAACTAAAAGCATCATCAATATCATACTTTAAACAAATGGCCTTGTTTGAATTAGTCCCCGTATTGGGTTTCTAGAGTCCCGGATAAAACTTTGTACCTCACTAAAAATTCTCTGTACAACCCTTGACAGGCTTTCGGGTGTTTTACCAGGCAGCTCCCAAAACCGAACTGGTTGTCGAACCAACGAGGCCAAAATTCTTCTGGTTTTGACGCGGTATTGTTGGAAATGATTGGCAACTCGGAGTAGAAAGTTCTTGGCAGCGGAAAGCACTTGTATTAACATCAAGATTGGACATATTTTATCTTCATCTTCTAGTACTTCCATGATTATTGTAAGAATAACCGAAGTAGCTGTACTGACTAGATCAATGAACTCGGGCAAAGGACATTTGGAACTCATTTTTTTACCTGTGGAATGTCACTCGTAATGATGATTTATGATTTTATCACCTGTATTTTTTTACTGACTAAATACACTCCGCAAAATCTCGCTGGCATGCAAGTATAACAAATCTGTATTTCAATAGCCCTCCTCCCACAGGGTCATTTGTATGCATCAACATAGGGTCCCTCTCTTCATGATCACGATGTTACAGTTTTCGTTAGAATTGTCTACTAGCTGTTAAGTGGTTTTGTTATATGTGGTTACCCAGCTGCGCCCCCCCCCCCCCCCCCCCCCCAAGAAAAAAGGTTTTGCCTTGCGAGTTTTGTTGCATGGCAGATAGAATTTTAGGTACCACTGGCGAAAAGATGTTACCAGCGCTCAAGAAAATAACTTTGTAAAGTACAATTACCGAGTTTCGTAAAGTTAATGAAGAATATAATAAATGTCCTTGCTTAATTTGCATGAAAAATTTCACCCCTTGAAATTCACACATACAATTCAAGGGATACGGAAAAACTCTATTTCTTTGATGCTTAGAAGATGTTTGTGTTTTATTTTCTAGCATAGCTTTTTTTTCAACAATGCTCCGTCTTGGTTAAGTTGCTCCTTAAGGCCTCGGTCGAAGTTCTTGATCAGTCATGAGTGTAAATCCGAGAACATGACGGGGCCGAAATCTCCCGCATAGCCGTTAATCGGCTCCCCCCGGTATACGACGCGCGCTGCAGCATTCGATGTCTTGAGGTGTGGTCCCAGATTACAGCCATTCTCAATCACGCGCCCCCTAGCGATTGTTTCTGTCGCGACGAAGTAGGTTTTGGTTGACGTCAATCACAAGGTGTTTCCATAACATTGTAGGAAAACACAAAGCTATAAGAGCACGTGCCTATAGAATGTCATGGAAACGCTTTGATTGACGTCCACCAAAAGCTTCTTCGTCGCCACAGAAACAATCGCTAGAGCGGCGCGTGTAATTGAGAATGGCTGTAATCAATCGACAATAATTTCTAAATTTATTGATTTGATCAAATTTTTGTCGTTACTATGGCAACGCCAATCTAGCATAAACCTTAATTATCCAGCTAATTTAGGGCCGATTATTTGCAGATTTCAAATCATGAATATGGTTATAATTAAAAATAATAACTGCAGTGAGCCACCTTAATTCAACTTAATTCTTCAAACGGAACTATTACTTAATCTTTTAAAATCTAAAATACATAAAGCCATCGAAAATACGTTTAGAGTTACGGGATCAAAAAAGAAAATCCCAAAGCTCAAAAATAAATATTGATCATGATGTTATAAATACACAACAAAGCATTTCTCATATTCGTATATTTTTTATTTTATTTTTAATACTTTTTTAAATACAATTAATGATAACCTTATTAAACATTGGAAAGCATTTAATAATATAAGTTTATGACAACTAGGTTTCTCGACATTTCGATGGCATCAAAACGTCGAGAAATCTTAAAAAAATAATGATACTCGTGTATGGACATAATTTGATCGTCCGTTTGGATAACATAATATTTTTATTCTAATTATATTTCTAGATTCTAAAATTAGATCGGCAAACAAAAATTAGGGTGTTTGAAAAAACATGTTTTGAGGTTGTTGTTTTGAAACGACCTTTTTCCAACTTCCAAGAAACAATGCTTTTGATAAATGAAGGTGAATACAGTCCAACCAAGTCAAAGCCACTTCTTTGAAAACATGTTTTGTTATTTGATTATATCGGCGACATTTTGTCTCGTAGTTTAAGGGCAACATCGTATTTCTCTTGTTTTTGAATCGCTAAATCTTCCAGGCACAAAAGGCCAATACAAATTAATGTACTTGATAATATGATAAAGGGCTATTTGACTTTTCGATGTCTTAATCTTTCTTTTTCATCACTTACCGTAGGTAATTGCAATAAAACTGTACGATAAATAGTTTTAATAGCCATAAATTCATATTAATGCCCGTATTTATGGCGAAAGTCTCGACGAAGTATTTGCATGGGTCATTAATAAGGGCACTTTCCGTAACCAAACATTCTGTTTTGTTGGGTTGTGTCGTTAGCATTGACTAGTTAATAGAAAGTCATATAGATGTTCCTTATTCTATTAAACACTTTCCCGCCAAAAATAGCTGCTATGAATTTTCCCGCCATGAAAATACTGTGATTTATCTGTTTACGCAAATTTCCTGCCAAAAACTTGCAAACCGACTTTTCCCGCCAAAAAAGGGCCGGTCTACCACACTCCTGCCAAAAAAAAAAAAGTTAATTCATAAACATATTCATTTTCCGTCAAAGAAAACAACAATCAACTTTTTTTGAAGACACATTTCAAAAATAAAATCAATCAGCAGCATATTTGTCGCTCAGAAGAAGATTGACTAATCCGTAGACGTATATCTCCCGCCAAAAGCAATTTATCTCAATCTGTTTTATTTTCATATTTTCCACTCAAATGTAAGTAGTAAGAATACATTTTACAGACATTATGATTATTATGATTAAGAGCAACTAAAATCTAAGGGGATAAAAACCTTAACAGCTGTAATTTGCCAAGGGAATGGAACCAAAAAATAACACAATATTAGCATCTATTTCTTAATTTTTTTTTTTTTTTTTTGACTCGTCTTTATAAAAAACGGCTGAAATTTAAAACTCTAGATATTTCAGCGCTAGTGCTCCTATTTCTTGTTTTAGTAATTATCTACCACTTAGAAATATTATTTAAAAGGATTTCTGCAAAATGTTTGAAGTTAGATCAATTCTTTTCCACTTTTCCCCCCTATTTCTCACGTTACTGGTTCACATTACACTGGAAATATCTATCGATTTGAGATGTTGGAAATATGTTGGAAATATCATAGAAATACGTTGGAAGTTAGTTAGTGATGACGCGCTCTGACTTCCATTATATTTCCATGGTTTTTTTACTTCCATAGTATGGAAATATGTTGGAAGTCGATACTTCCAACATATTTCCAAAATCTCAAATCGGTAGATTTTTCCAAGAGGTGTTACTGGAAACTCGTCCAGATTGTTGCTGAATTTTTTGAACAA